TCGCACAGGCGGCGGGGGAAGATCATTCCACAACTTGGAGGCGACGCGTATTGACATGCCATTGTTTGAAAAGTTGTGTCAAAATCTGAAAACTCTAGGACTATTGCAAGTTTAGTAATCTCCTTTATTTCCTGAGATAATTTTTGTTCACAAAAACATAATCATACATTAAATCTACACAAAAATTATCCCCAATCACTGGGCCAGTGCAAGGATTGCTGCCAGAAACAATATCTCTCAAATTGTAAGTAAAATAAATACCGTGCAAAAGTTTTATTATGTTTTGTTTACATTAAATTTACAAACTAATAATATAAAAAAATAAATAAAAGCAAAATATAAAAAATTAGATGACCTATGCTCGAACTCCATACATTCAGTATTCATGCTTTGGACAAAGAGGACACTAGAATACCTATTCTTAGGTTTCACACCATACAGCCAAGACTTGGCTGTATGGTGTTAAAACCTTTGCCTTTTCCTCTCTGGAAAGAATTGAAAAAACAACAACTATACCTTTGTATGTGTGTGTGTAACTAAGTTTCGAGCGGATAATAGATATTTTTACCTAATTGAAAGATTGTATGTGAAAAGTTATATGAATTTTAAATGCATCATGAATTTCTCCAATCGCGTATACAATAAAAGTATAACTTTTGGCTGCCAATTTTGCGAATATCGTAATAAACTAGTATTTCGCCTTACCAACGCCATATATTGGGTATTAGGTTACATAAAACCGTGACGTTCCCCCTTAATAATAATAAAATTACAAACCATAGTAGGTATAATTTACCTGTATCGTCGATCCGCCGGATATTCCGCTGGATCAAAATGCTCGAGCGAAGGGTACCGCGGAGTACGTGAACATCCACGAGTGTAGCTAGTCCCTCGCGACCGAGTAGAAGCACAACCATCAAACCTATAAAAGACAAAAGTAAATTAATAACCTGCTAGACATTTCGATAAAATGTAAAATATGCCACAAGCATACGAACCGAATAGACTCGTGTCGCGCCGGCGCGTATCGCGGCCCAACTTCACCAGCTAATCTCTCAGATCCCGTTAACGCAGCTGAACCACCGTGCTTTTCTAATTGCTCATAAAAGGCCTCCTAAAACAATAAGTTTATTAGTCTTATCTGTGATATAGCGTCATAGTTAAGCTCAAAACGGGCGCCAGGGCGGGTGGAGTGCTGGGGTAGTAATGCGTACATTTATTATTTAAATTTATATGAAATACATCGAACAAATACGAAGCTAATGAACAGTAACGAATCCATTGTTGCATTTAAACAAATTTTAGACACGAATAAGTGACTAATATTACAATAATCAAATTGAAAAAAAAATGGAACAAATTGCAACGAAATTAAATTGTCAGATAATAATCAAGTAGTCTACCTGAACATTTAAGGGATCGTTTTCGTTCTAGCTTCTGTCTGGCTGCGCTAAGTTGGAACAAACCGAATGTGCAGACAGGTGGTGAGTAAAGCGCAAATTAGTTACAATACTGGTTATGAATTTCGATAGACGAAAAGGCAATGTCAAAACATTGTCGGTTTGCTCCGATCTTTAAACCAGAATAGAATGTTACCTGGCACTCGCGCGACGCGTAGTCGACGGCGAGACGAGGGCGGTCGGGCTCGGCAGCGGAGACGTGCGCAGCAACGCGGCGCAGCTCACGCACCGCCGCGCCCGCCGCAATGGCCTGCTCGAAGTGTACCAGCGCCGCGCCTGCAGCGCGGTCTACGCACACCGATGTAGCACCACCACAGCGCGATACGCAACTCAGCACCTGCTTCTCCGTGTGTTCCGTGAGTCCATCAACCCACACGCACGTTGTGGCCACCGGCTTACCGAAGCCCAACTTCACGCGTGACGCGCCCACGTACTCTCCATCCATGGTCCGGATAGCCTCCACCACGCTAGATATCGCCGCGTACTGGCAGAATGCGTAACCCGCTCCGCCGCCACTGCCTTTCTTGATGTCGATTTCTATTATTCGCCCAAAATGTTTAAATTTATCCCTCAGTTGCTGCTGCGTAACGTCTTTCTCTAGGTTTCCGATAAATAAGGTTTTGGTAGCCTGTAAATAAAATTAAATTGGATTAAAACGTATGAAGTAATAAAATACAAAAGACGTCGTTTTAAAAGAAACACAGACATGCCATACCTTCGGATGGTACTCGTCGATATCAGTCTCGTAAGGTTTAGCGGAATCCGCATCTTCATCGCAACTTTGGTGAGGTGCCACTGAGATCTTGCAACCGAAAAAAAGCTTATCTTGAGACACTTCCAAAGCTTTCTCTACGTCGGACGGCTTCTTAAATCGGACCACAGCGTACCGGTCGGCATTCTGCCCGACCACCTTGACCCACACGACTTTGCCATGTTTCTTATACTCGTGATAGAGACCATCTTTCAAGGAGCTGTCGGTCGAACGAGTGGGCAGGTTTCGGACGCAGATGGCCAATGGTCGGCCGCTGGCCGTCGACGACCACTGCCAAACGTAAATTATTCACGTTGAGTTGGTGTACTCAATTGGACAAATCGAGAAAGTAAAACGTAATGTGTATATACAGGTGACCGGTTAAGAATGGATAAGCCTGAAATGTCTTATAGTAGAGCTTATGAACGTTCAAAAAAAAATATAAAGAAAAATACATCCTATGTAGTACCCAAGATTTTTTTTCTTTAAATTTAATTATTTTCACCTTATTTTACGTTTTTGTACACCGCGACTACAAGTTAATCAATTCCTTTGATTTTTTGGTGTCATAATATTCTACATTAACTGTGCTAATAGATAGGCAGTAAATAGTATGACTAACTATGGCACTTATATTTTTTTTAAAGTGCAAATTTTTTTTTCACAAAGTTTAAGCATCCTTGATAGAAAAAAAATTATTATAACCTGAGTGGCCAACTATTCTAGAATAATGTGTGTTTAAAGTAGATTTCAAAATGGTATAAGTCATTATTGTATCTAATAATAAATAATTTTAGTAGCAGTAGAGCTCCTTGTGAAAGAGCTCGTCCAGGGAAGTACTGCCACCTTACCTATTTCTGCCGCCAAGCAGTAATGGTCACATTACTGTGTTCCGGTTGTGAAGGGTAAGGGTGCTGGTGAAATTACAGGCACATGAGACTTGTCAACTTATGTCTCAGGGTGACGGGCGCAGTGGCAGTGCCCCCAAGATCTTTGTAATTTAAAGCTCTTGGTGGCACTGCAACTGTTATGGGCAGGCGTGTAGCTTACCATCAGGCACACGACTTGTTCGTCCCGTTACTTAATGTCATAAAAAAAAAAATAAAAAAAAAATATAAATAGAAAATTATTGCTATTAATGTGCAAAAGGAGTAAATTTGACTAAAAACTAAATTTTCAAATTTGGAACATTTTTTGTCCTGAATTGAGCTTGACCATTGAGGTTCAATAAAAAAAAACAATATTAGAAATAAATACAACTTTATTTACAAATTGTTTACAGCAAATGTTAAAACTGTTTGCCGCCGACTCTGATGCAGGCTAATAAAAGCTCTTTTGAGTAGCCGCGTATATCGTCGTTCACTTATTGTTGCAGCGGCTGCCCTGCCACGGCTACGTAAGTTTCCAAGGACCTGATCGGCTTACTATACACAATTTCCTCAAGGCAGCCCCACTAAAAAAAATCCAGTGGATTTAGGTCCGGTGAACGCGGAGGCCATAAAATTGGCCCCAGACGGCCGACTACATGGGATATATTTTTCTTCATATTTTTTTTGAACGTTCATAAGCTCTACTATAAGGCATTTCGGGCTTATCCATACTTTACCGGACACCCTGTATAACGAAAATTAGAGTAACAAAATAATATGAACAAGAAAAGCTACCTGGTGGTGATTATGGTGGGCTAAGGCGTTGGCAGACTGCGGCGCAGGCGGCGTACGCGCCAGGTGCCCGGGGCGTGGACTGGAGGCGCGCGAGCCGTCGCTCGGCTCCGGAGAACTGGAGTCCGATCGCGACGAGCCCGAGCCCGAGCGCCGCCGTCGCCGCCCACCACCGCCCTCGGTGCCTCCACCCGGTGTGCTCGGCGTGCTCTCGCCACCTGTCGCACCACGTTCTCGTTCCCCACTCGCGTACCATCGATGATGAGGAGTCGACCTGTGCGTATCAACATAATAGTCACTCTTACGTTAAGACCCATCCATTAAAATCAAGGCGGTAGAATTACAGATAGATGTGTTTACCGTTCCACATTGGAGGGCGGCGTGGAGTAGGGTGCGGTGGAATTATTCCGCTGATAGCGGCCGAAGGTGGCGGGAGTGTTACCGCGACGGCAGAACTCGGAGGCGCTGTCATTGGTGCCACGCCAGTTGGCTGGCGCTGCTGCCGTTGCCGCCAGCGCGCACGTGCCGGTAACCTCTTCTCCCCCTCTGCAAAAAATGGACATAAACAAACATAAATAAAACAAGTATAAAATCCAATTAAACAAGCAAGTGTGTATGTTAAGAGCAATATATACATTCACTAATATATGTACATTTTGATATTCGAAAATGTCTACCCGTAAACCTCTACTACCCATGCTTATCAATAATCCGTTAACATAGTCTTGAAACAGTAACATAGTCTTGAAACAGTATGGACGGCCAAACAGCATAAAAGTTTAGCTACTGCCAAAAGTCACATGGTAAGTTTCCAAATAGAACCAATTTCTATTGTCGAACAAGTAGCTATATTTAAGAAACAGTGTTTTTTTTTTGTTATTTTGTGTTAATAATTACTTGTATTTAACATAACAGTAACATGTCATTTAATTGTAACGGTTCAGACCAAATGCACGGTTCGTTTAAAGGGCGAAGCAGCTGACCAAAACACCTGTAAGAACTCTATTCACTTTCTTAACACAGTCACTATACTATGTAACCGTTATACAATATATGACGCGTAATGTTTACCAATGTCAAAAACAGTTCAGCAGAAATTAATTGTGGGTTAAGTTAATACTAGTGACAGGATTTGAAACATGTTGCAGAATTTTAAAAACCTTTCAATATAATTTATCCTGCTGACAACAAACGTTCGATGTCAAAAGTCAATACAACATATTTAGCATGAACCCGGAGAAATAAGTTATCACTTCACGGAACTGCCAATTTTTTCTCAAAATTTTAAGTCGATACGAAATATGTCATCTACACGCTCGAACATAAGTATTATGATATTAAAGTCTTCGCGTACACAAATCAAAATCGTAATTTTTCTGGCTCGTGATTTCCATTTTTAACCGACTTCAAAAAAGGAGGAGGTTCTCAATTCGACTGTATGTTTTTTTTGTATGTATGTTACGCGATTACTCCGCCATTTGTGAACCGATTTTGATGTTCTTTTTTTGTTGGAAAGAGGGAGGTACCCTCTTAGTAGTACTCTTTTAGTGGTCCCATTTCATTTTGAAGAAAATCATCCACCTCTAAGGGTGGCTGTTCACGCATGAAGATTCATTTTTATAAATAGCGCCTAAAATTTATTATAATTTTATTTAATTAATAATTATTTTAATGGTTGATTTTGCTATTCTCCAGCTCAAGGCGTTTTTCTCTCTCAATATACTTAGAGCAGTGAGAACCGATTTTTATTATCTCCTGTGTCAAGTTCCGTATAATGGCGAACTAGGGGATGAATCCGGGTTTGCGCATTTTCCAGTAGCCGATTTCAATAATATGTGGCAAATTGATGTAATTCCACGTACTTTTGAGGTCGGTTTTTTTAGTACTCTGTACTGAGATAATTTGTATACTTTACACAGATCTGCGTAGCAAAATATCTCTGGCACCCGCCGAGAAATAGTAGTGATGTTTAACATGGTCGTTCTTCCAGTTTTTGTCGTCTTTTAATTCAACAAAAAGAAAGAAAAGAAAAGAAAGTTTGAAGTCTCGACGATTTTTTGGCATTTTCGAGACTCGAGCCTGGTGTTTTCGGTCTCGGGAATATCGAGACTTTTTTGAGATTAATGTCACTTAATTAAAAAGTTTTAAAAATCTACTAGATACACAGTATTTTTATTGTGATTACTTGGATATGGCAACATTCTAGAGTGGAGCTTAGTATAATGCATGGAGATTGAATAACGGTTGTAATAAAATCAGTATCTCTAACTTGTCCTTTGCCTTAACATGGCCTTTGTTTCTTGCGTAACAACTATAAAAATTTAGAAATATGTAACTTTAATAAATAATTATTTTATTAAGATATCATGTTTAACTGCCTTAATGCGTAGCCTATAACTATGGAAACCTCTTCTTAAAGTAGTCTCGAAAGTCTCGTTTATCCCATTGCGATGTTCGTTTCCTTGTGAGCTCCTTGTGAAAGAGTTCGTCCAGGGAAGTACTGCCACTTTACCTATTTCTGCTGCCAAGCAGTAATGTGAGCATTACTGGCATTACTGCGTTCCGGTTTGAAAAAGTACAAGGTGCTGGTGAAATTACTTGCACATGGCACTTGTCATTACTTATGTCTCAGGGTGACGGATGTTGTGGCAGTGCCCCGCAGATCTTTGTGATTTACTTTTTACTACTCAGAGTGGCAAGTGGCACTGCAACTGTTATGGATAGACGTGTCGCTTACCACCAGGCGTAAAACTTGTTCGTCCCATCACTTGGTATTATTGGTCTATATATTTTTTCCCCGGAACGCGGAAATGCAGCATGATTGTAAGCATTAGGTACTAAATAAACTAAATTGTTATAAAAACATTATATCTGTCCGTCCAAAAACTATATCGGTACAATTATATAATTTTGTAGTGTAATGAAGACAGAATAACAGAAAATTGTTTTTTTCTATGCGAACCGTACAAAAAACCTAAGAGGGAAAATGTGTGAGCGGAGCTAGTGCTGTGCCCTTTTTATTTTGTTGTTTTATGTGCTAATTATTATGTTATCGTTACGTAGCTGAATATTTAAATGGTAGATAATTTCTGTACCTATCATCCCATGCTTGCACTAGGAACATAGTCGGTAAAGAAGACAAAAGTATATCAACGCGAGCCAGTTTTGTCTTTCGTCTCATGCTAAGCCTATTGAATCACAATGTATCTCGTCGAGCCTTTATTTTGGCTAACATATAAACAAACCCTAAGCGTTTGTAAAGTTGATTAAAAAAGTTCTAGTTTCAAAGTCAAAATTTATAAAACGCAGCAATTAAAGTCCCGAGAAACCAAAAGACAGTACTAAATAATAAATTTTACATTAATTGTTAGTGTAGCTTAATTTTTTAGTAAGTAGAAATTTTGTATCTGGTTAGAGATAAACTCAAGTCAATCTAGTTATAGTTTTTACGACACTGTATGTATTTTCACAATGTTATTGAAATGTCTGTTAAATAAATAAAAAAAATAGAACGCAAATATTCCCGGTATACATTTAAACAGTTCAGTGCTAACTAGACATGAGCGCCGCGCCGGCGCGCCGCCTCCGCCGCGTTTTTCCTCGCGCAGCCGCCGCCGACAAATGCAATCGGCGCGCCGTTCAGTTTGATCGGGCGCTCCAATCGTGCACGTGCATGCTTCCGTATTGTGTATGTCAAAATGGCGACGCCACAAAATGTTCAGGGAACAAGTCTGCAGACAGGTAATTCCACTCCATAGCCATATAAACGTGCGAATCTTTGGAATATCCTCAATATAGAGGTGGAACCCAAGTCTACGCCTAGTCCCCCGGTCATGGAAAGCGGAACTATATAGTGTAATTCCAACGCACACTCTCCGTGATATATTCTGTAAAATTCCGATAAGCTGGAAACTTTACGGCGGTGTTCAAGGCTCTGCAGCTTCGCCTCCACTAATTCCGAGTCACCTATAAGCTACTTGGCACGGTTGTCATTTAAGGCTTAGTCGATGAATGGCCAATTCGCAAAATGGCTACCAGTCTAGGAAAGCCCAATTCGCAAAATGACTATTTCGATATAGGCCCAATTCGCAAAATGGCCAATTCGATATAGGCCTAATTCGCAAAATGGCTAATTCGACAAAGGCCTACTTCCTAAAAGGCCCAATTATAAAAACGGCCAATTCTTAAAATGGCTAATCTGCAAAATTTATTTTGCCCTTGCGTGAGGGATATTTGAAAATCGTAGTAATTATTTTCAATGGGATTTTATTCTAAAAGTCGCGCGTTAAAAAGTTTTTAATACATTTTCATATAATCTTATCCATGTTTGTGACTTTTGAGTTTCTTTTGTATTATTTTATTTGTGACAAGTTTCATAATGGAAGAAAACACATTTATTTTCGACAAAAATCAAAAAGGTAATGAAACGTTATTACTAAATGGATACAGGTATAATAAAAGAAACAGGACAAATAAAAATCAAAGTACGTTTTGGAGATGTGCTAATAAAAATGAGTGTAGTGGATCTATAACTATAGATTCTACCAGAACAAGGATACTAAGAGCACCCCGACACGTCTGTGAACCTGACCCAGACAAAAACCAAATTTTTATCAAAATGAGTGAACTCAAAAACAAAGTATGCCAAAATATGGGGCCAATAAAGGGAATTTTCGATAAAGAACTGGATAATATGTCAGGAACTATAGTTACTAAGCTTCCATATTTTCACACTAAAAAAGATTCTCTTTATAACGCCAGGAAAAAATTTTTACATGCACGTAGATTAACATTCCAGAATTTAGAAGATGTGTATGTCCCAGAAGGATTGGCAGAAAATTTTCTTGTAGCCGAAGATGGGAGCACAGATAAAATAATAGTTTTTGCTTCGAAATTATCGAAAAAGATTATACATCGTGCCTCAAAAATGTGCTTATACGGTGATGGTACATTCAAATGTGTTTCTCGTCCTTTTTACCAATTATACACCATCCATATTGACATAGGTTCCGACGAAAATACCACAAATATTGTTCCAATTATATATTCTCTTCTTCCGGACAAGACTCAACTCACGTATACGCGACTTTTTAAATTATTCAAAGATCGGCTTGGACTAAATATAAAAAAATTTAAATGTGATTATGAGGTGGCGGTAATGAATGCCGTTAGCGAAATTTACCCGGACGCAAAGATAACCGGTTGTTACTTTCATTACCAGCAGGCTATTTGGAAAAAAGCAAAGGAAATGGGTTTAACTAATTGTAAGGAAAATAGAAGAGTCATTCGGATAGCCGCCGTCATGCCTCTTTTGCCCCCACGTTTTATACCGGAAGGATGGCAAATCATTTATGGGAAGATAGAAAGTCTGTCTTATGCAATGAAAGATTTCCAAAAATATTTAGAGAGACAATGGCACCGCCTGACCCCAACTTTATTAAGTTGTGCTGGTCAACGCCACCGGACCACCAATGCTATTGAAGGTTGGCATCGCCGCCTAAATGTCATCATTCCGAAACGTCCCAGCTTATTTCACTTCATCCACA